AGGCTTCGCCAATCACACTTCAGGAATAACTGGGCTTCACGTCTTTTCAAAAACACTCAAAAGTGTGAGGTAATATTTTTTTAAATCATCATCGACAGACAACAGACCATTATTGATTCAATGCTGAAGATGGTGGGAGAGAAACAATAACTTGAAAAATAAAACAGATGTACACGGACCTTCAGGGTGCTCTGATATTACACCATCACACTGCTAAAGAGCTTTGATTTTTACCATTTACAACAAGTTTGTTAACAGAACACCAAATATCTCAGATAATATGACATTCATCATTTTGATGTCCAGCCATCCTTATGGGGAAGGATTCTTAAATTCTTACCTGAATCTTAACCGTGTCAAACATATGTCAATTAACCCGAGCCTTAATCACCTAGCTTGCCTCTGTTCAATTAATATTAACTCAATTGGTTTTCTTTCATCAGTCTTTCTAAAAAGCTGAAACTGGAGTTTTCTGTCCATATTCAAAGCTAAATAGATGCCTGGATAGTAAACTTTGCACAGCTCCTTATATTAACTGAGACAATAAGACAATATCCTAACATTTTGTTAGTGTTCCACAACATTACAATGTCCCACTAAGCCACAGAGAGCCAAAGTAAAACTGGAACCTCTGTTTATTGTTCCAGAGGAAACAATAACTCAATCAAAATCACATTTGTAGTAACACTAACGATGGAAAATCGAGCCCTTACAACACAACCTTGTTCAACAGGATGTAGTTCACTCCATATGTCTAGATAACTACGATCATTTAAAAACATCTAAATTCACTCCATTTGCCAAACACCATTTCCCACAATCCCGAGAAAATTGGAGGAATATCCATCTATCTTAGAATATGGACCGGTAATGAAAGAAACCCTCAATCGGAGGAAATACAGAGGTTGGTGGTAGAGAGGCTAACTGCTCTTCCACTACCACACTGTTAAAGCATCATGGGAGCTGTAGTTGTTGAAAGTTGACAAAATATTCATTCTTTTATGTTTGTTAAAAGACAAGGTGCTTTTCACAGCAAACATTTTGTCTCATCGCTGAAGGAGAAGCACAGGTGTTACTACTAACATTAACAGCCTATTCAGATGTCCCAGTAGGTCGTGACAGTGAGCCATCATTCATTATATTATTTACACCTGTGCTGTTCCTACAGTGACATGTCGAAATGTCCGGCCAGCAAACAGTGCATCCCGTCAGGCACCATCTCATCATGTGCATCTAAAACCTAAAAAAAAACAACCCACAAACGTCAGAATGTGAGTCCGCCAGGCATTATGTCAGCCATAACCTCAACAAAACAATATCAGTTAAATATCAAACATGGCTACATAACAATTATATATAAAAAGAGAACAACTTTCAAAGTAGAATAACAGATGGATATAAATACGATAAAATGTAAGGAACTTAGTTTACATTGTCAATGTAGCAATTTAGAATGCATTCAAGAAACTGGCATTTAAAGTTATTTTACTAATCCAAACAATCGTACTACCTTTTATGGGATAATGGTCTCCAAGTGCTTTTTCATTTACATTTTACACAGTAACTTTCATGCTAAGGTTATTTTGTGAGATGTTGGAATATTTTTAAAAATCAAATAGCATAAATGCCTCGTACAGTTAGATAACGTCATATTCTTTGGTAAAGGAGGGTGAAAAGGATGTTTGTATGTGACATTTCAGTAACCTCTGTTAACACCACACACATCAACGAAACATGTGACAGAAGGCCTTGTACACAAGTATAAAAATACAACAATAATAAAAAGTGATAGTATCAAAGTTTTCACAGTACAATACATACAACAGATTATTGCACCAAATTTAACTATTTTGAATTTTGTCACAAGAGAGCAACTTAGTGAAGCTTATACTGTTTCTCCACTCTTCAAATGCCTGTACATGAATGATACCAAAAACTGGATGTTCACCAGGGCAAGTGACAAATAGTCAAATATCCATTATTTTGAATAATTTCACGATATGTGATCTACTGTATTTACGGTGCATTAAGCGTGAAATGACAAATATTAAACCAATAAAACAACTGCATCTCCCATGTCTTTCTGTTTGCACTAAATTATTTTACATTAGCATTTCACAAAACACCTCCCTCCCACCACTGTTAGATTCAAGTGTTCTACAGGGCTATGGTAATGTACCTAAAATAACATAATAAATAACAACATAATTAAAAAAACAAAACAGACATGATTTGACCTTGCCATTGTTAAAATCAAAGCTTGAAAGATTGATAAGCTGTACCATTACTTTAAGATGTAGAAGTTCAAACATCAATACATAATTCTTAAATTATTTTACCTTAATGTGATAAACGTAAACAAATGAGACCATGATTGAGATCATTTGTGGTCTACGTCACACCTCAGATAATGGCTGCAAGATCTCCACAAATGTGGCTGTTAGTTCTTCTCATCTCTTCAGATTTGTTTCAGGCGATGAATGTAATGGGAGAGATTTTTTCCCATCGCCCATTCACTGCTTCCCTCTGCCTCTGATAAAGCTCCTACAGCTTTTGCTGTTTGCTCTGGAGGAACAGTGCCACCTGTCTGCAGATTCTCACCAATCTGTGCTGGCTCACAGAGTAAAACCACAGAATAGAGGGCAGCGGTGGCTCACAGTCGTGTCAGTAATAGTCTCATTTGTTTATGATTCTGCATTAAAATACAAATCAAAACATGAATCTTAAATTATTTTTTTAAGTCTGTAAGAGTAAGAATAAAAAAAAGATATTTGAGGCTTTAGGTGGGTAAATGTATGTCACACAAGTATCACATTAAATAGATGTTATTTTTAAAAGATAGATTGTGTAAATTAGTTCTACACTTAAATTACTACAATGTTAACTGCCATATCAATCATAGTCAGTGCATTCAGCAACACATTCATGTTACAGATAAGATGATATTTTGAATATCAATCTGCTCATTATCTGGGGACAAATAAAGCAAAATATATCTGTATTTGTATGTGAGTTTTGCTTTGTATCTAACTTGGTATCTTTGTTCACACTAAGTAATGTAATCAGTGGTTTTGATGAATAAAACAAAAGACTCTTTGTGATAGACTTTCCCTACAATGTGACAATGTGAACAGGTGTCTATTATAAAGTAAACCAATGTTCTCTCTCTCGATATATATATATATATATATATGTACAGTATGGATTAAAACAGTCCCAAAGCTGACCTATTTAGGCAAGAGTCTGTTGTTGGGGCAATAAAATCACACATTTTGGTTGTATTTTGATAAGATTAGGGCTGGTTGTTGAAATTCAATACTACTGAGAATCAAAATAAATATGTCTGTAGCAACGAGAATCCAAAACGGATATCATAATTTGAAATTGGTTTAGTTTACTTGTTTTTTGATCATATATATTTTTTATATGAATCAATTTTTAGCCAAAAATTAAACATGTTGTATAAAAACAACATGTTTAGTTTTGGTATCTATAGCAGAAATCATGTAATTGACAAATCAGCATAGAGGAACCAGAAACCATTTCTACCAGGAGTACGCCAACTCATATCCCGCTGCTACAGTGGCACCACCAGCAACTGTGTGGAAGCCAAGATGAGTTACCTTAAATTTGACCTGTAATGAAAAGCAATCCAGTACCAAGCAGAACACACAAACACCGTTCATCCAAACGTTTAACCGCAGACAACTTTTCTGTGGCGATTCAGGAGCAAACGAGGCAACCACGGTCCACATAAACCAATTTTTTAGCAGGTTGGAAGAAAAGCTGAAGATGAACTTAATTGCTGGCAATGTTTATGTAGTAGATTAGTTCAGACTTGGATAACAGGTGCAATTTCTCACAACAATCTGTATGTTGACTCTGTTGCTTTGATGACATTTGCATGCAAATAATAAAATGCAGAGATTTTGCAGGGTGACATTTGAAGAGCAAACGGTAGTGTAAGCAGGAGACATGGATTTTTAGCGTTAATTCTGGTGCCGAGTGGAAAAAGTTGGATTAACTAGATGTTAGCCTGGAGGATGATCTGTGCATCTATCTTCGAAGTGCCACTGAGCAAGGCACTTGACCCCCAACTGCTCACCTGAATTCTCAAAAGCAGACACTCAAAATAAAGAGTTTGAATCCAGAGTAAGATGCCTCCCATTTCACAAATATGACACATAAAAAGGTGCTACATATAGGATTTTGTTTTCCCAACCAATCTAAAGACAGCGTTGCTACTTGTCCCTCTCTTTCCTCCTTTCTTGCTTGTTTGTTGTTTGTTCAAAGATCAAGAACAAGAGCGAATATCCAATTACATTAGCTAATATGAAATTCAAACTGTAGTGTGATGAACATAAAAGTAAAATCTGTCCTTGATTTGCTTTGTGGCTATCAGTCTTCTCATGATGGTCTCCTTTGTTTACAGTAATGAAACCTTTTGAAATGAATGTTTCGAACATTCAACAGTGTTAAAATGCTACATAAAGCACACTAAAAAATGAAACTTGTCATGAACTACCACTACAGTTGTTAGTAAGATAAAAGCCTCTTGCTCAATAAACATCTGGTGGTTTTTGTATTTTTTTCCCCAAGAAAACAGACACAGCAATGTGAAGTGAAAGCTTCCACACACTATAGATCTCCAGCAGTAGCACTGAAAAACTAACAGTATTATATCAGGTGGCAGGCACACAGATGACACCAACACGAATAATAGAAAATCTCCTTCTCTTAGCCTCACAGCAGACTGGGAAAGATTACAATCACTCCCCAGTATCTGTCAGGAAACCTGTACACATGCGTCTCTCATTTAACTGATGGAGGGTGAGTAGAAACGCAGAGAGCCTTTTACTCATTAGCTGTCTTCTCTTTGCAGGAAGGTTCACAGAGGATTTCCTTGTGTGGCAGCGGATAGGGGAAAGCCGCTCCGCTGCAGGTGCTACCGTAAGCCAGTTTGTTGAGGCGAGAGAGGCCCTTGATGCTACCAGGAGGCCGTCCGGGGCTGACCTTGTACCCCGCCGCTCTGGTTGTACCCAGCGGCCTTCCCGGGCTCGTCTTGAACCCGGCAGCTCTGGTGGTGCCGAGGGGCCGCCCTGTGCTGGTTCTGTATCCGGCTAGCTTGGTGGTTCCCAAAGGCCTCCCACGTCTGCCCGTCTTCCCGACAGCCTTGTTCTTCTTCTTGCCGTCATCCGGCGCTTGATCAGTGCTTTTAATGCCGGGTATTTTTCCAGACGAGCGTGAGTCACCCCCAAGAACTTCCTGTCTCTGGCACACCATGGACTTGTGGCTCTGGGCGGGTAAGGCCATAGGAGCCAGCGTCATCTGGAGGGACGGAGGGGGAGGAGGGTAGAACTTGTTGGACTGGGAGGTGCACAGTTCAAAGTGGGAGGCGGCGTGGTGCCCGTCCTCTGCCAGGCACGACGGCCTGCTATTCATGCAGAAGTCACTGCTTGTCACCTGACGCATCATCTTCTGCTGGGGGTCAGAAATAAGTTGCAACTTTGTTATTATCACAGATAAAAGTGCTGATATTTATGTGTAGAATCAGTTGTTTAGGTAGTACAATGCCAGGAAAAAAAGAAAATGAACTGAAGACAGCATCCATACAAACTCCAAAACAATTACACAGCATAAGTTGAAGGTGTTTTATAATATTTTGACCCGCATCATTTAAAGAAACCTGGACACATTTAAGGCTTTACACCAAAGGGCTTACCTAAAACCTAACATGTGTTTCCCACAGAAAAGCTTAAGGAAGCAGCTGTGCTCTTTATTGGAGGTGGGGAAGTTAACTTCACGTGCATTTGCCAAACCATTTACTCTTTATCCCTGAAGTCTTTTTTCTTGTAAAACCTACAAACTTGTTTGAAAACACTTCTGATAAAGTATAAATCTCACATTTTTATTACTTGTCTAAATAAGGTTCTAGTGCTGCAGCTGGAACCAGAAACTAGCAGGATTTCCTTGGGAACCAAAGAGGGCATGTCATATCAATATCCTTTAATACAAAGTTCTTTTTCTTGTAGTTTCCGTTCGATTCATGTTTATCTCTTTACAAATGAGCCAGTGCTTCTCAATAAACCGTTATTTTCTGAATGGATTCTCGTAACTTCTGCCTTGCTGTAGATTTTGCTGTCAGGAATGAGTCAAAAACAATTCTGAATCCTATTCTTGCAACTTTTTTTCTTCTTCTTGCAAAATGCATGATTTTCCTTGCCATTGTTTTGCTCTGTCGAATGTTAAAGATGCTTTGAATCTGAGTTCAAACTCAGCTTGTTGTGTTATGCTGGGTTCTCTGAGCCCGGGTATCTAAACCCATAAATTATGGCTGTTTTCTTCATGTTTTTATTTTTTTATTCTGGCTCCTCACTCGCTAAAAATAAAAAGAGGTCAGAAGTCAAAAGGTTCAAATGGCCTTGTTTTAACTCGGCCTAGAAAAAAAAAGGTTTTTTTAAAAAGGATTCTGACTAAACCGCAGCCCACTTGTGAATAAATAAATGTTTTATTAGTGTGATGTAGGTTGGGGGTAATGGTTCTGGAGACAAAAAAAGACCTGGGTTAAGTACTTCAGAACAAGCATAAAGCTTACTGAAGTGATGCTGAAGTTCTTTTGAGCAATATGCTGAATCCCTATCAGCCGTGGTCTGCTGCTGACCTGACCTCTGACCTCTGACCTCCTGGTGTAGGGGGGCAACAGCAAAAGGACTATTTTCTCTCTCATTACTGGTATCAAATACACAATAACCTAGTAATTACAATAAGTAACAATCTGACTGTTCACACACACATAACTGCTCTTTAATTCCAACAATACAAACAACTAATATGAACTAATGAATAGGCTATAAATATTTGAAGAAGGCAAAAAGGACAAAGTGCTGCTGATGAGATCTTCTGCAGAGGACACAGGATGCAAGGAGGTGTGGACTTTACTATACACAGTCTGTAGTAATATTCATTCACAAAAACATATAGGCTATATATACACATGGATTCTGCATCCTTTGCGTCCAGGCGACAGAAAAACCTACTCTCCATGTCACTTTGCCCCTGTGCAATGTGAACAACACATACGGCTCGTTTTTTTGGCCCGAATAACGGGTTTTATAGATAAAATGGCTTAAAACATTAACAAAAGCGCGGATAAGTGCAGATATCCGATCTCCCGGCTCACATTTAGGCCATATAACGAACCTACATACACCCTCCTGCCACCAGCATTACGCACTAAAGGTTACTGTACCTCGATTGTTCGCAGAATCTCGGCGCAGAAAGGGTTAAGGCGAAAAATGATCTTTCATCCCTCAAAGCGAGAGTCGATCCATTTTCCCAAATATGTTCGCACCACGGGACATCGGCTGGCTCGAGTTTAAATCACAAACATCGGCTCGTTCCGGTGGGGACGTGGACGAGACGCGAGAGGTGCTCAGATGGACGTGGTTTTTTTTTATTTTTTTTTTATCTCCCTGCTCCAGAGGTTTGGAAAAGAAACGCAGCCATTTTCCATTAAAAATTAATAAGACGGGAGCGCAGTCTGAGCATGCGCAGAGCTCCAAATAGGGGATGTGAAGTTTTTTTTTTTTCCTCCTCCTTCCCCTGTTGAACCACTTTGACATCCAAAACGCGTTTTTCACTTTAAAATCTGGGGAAATTGTTTATTTGCATCCAACAAGGGGTAATAAAGCTGCAAAATGCCTGCTTTATTTCTTAATGTTATAATACCGAAAATGAGCCATCATCCAGTTTAAGTTCTTACCAAACAGCACTACCCACTACTGATGAATAATATACAAACGAAAGCCTATTGAATAATTAAAACAGTAGGTAAGGGTACACAGTATTTACCAGATTGGATAACACAAACAGCTGGACAAATCAAGTTCATTTCTTTAGCAACACATTGTTTTTATTGTGAGGAAAAGTAAAAACATCTTTCATCTGAGGATCTCTTCATAAAGACAATGGTTGGTATGTTGCTTGTACATACAACAGGGAGAAATCTGACCAATTAATGACATTAAAGAAAATATGTCTTATACTTAAGGACATATTACAGATAGCTTACTGTAGAACTGTGACAGATCAATGACACTGTAGATCAAAACGCCATCAGACATTTATGGTCTGTACTTCACTGGAAACTCAAGTGAAGCACAGAGGAAAATAATGAAGGAAAAAACAAAACAAACAAACCCATAAACTAAACTTATAATGTAACTGAAGGAAACATTATTAAAAATATAGACAAAAATATTCTTCAACCACTTTGATGAAACTGCAGAGATGAAAGGAGACTGTTGAGAGATGGGAACTCCTCCAGCGAGCCTTGCTTCCTCCTCTACAACACTTTGTACCGGCCTTTGCTCGTCGGCTGGTAGGAATTTTGCTGAAAAGAAAAAGAAAAATGTACAATAAGTCACGTTCAATATCATCATAGATATTTGCTGAATAACAACCTGCCATGTTTTATGTTCCCTGCTCTGAAGATCTAGTGCCAGACAAAATATGAAACAGGCTCCTATTTAGCCCGATAATCAGCAGGATATCCAGTACTGGTTATTGGTTTCAAAGAGGCAGAAGATACTTACTAATCTGATGAGCTCTTCCTTGATTAGACGTGTAATCTCCGTTTTGGCTTTCTGCACAGCCAGTTCATTTGCACCTAGAAAACAAACACAACATTAAGATACAGTATGTAAATCAAGTGTAAAAAAAAAAAACAGGAGACTCCATTAGAAATGAATTCAGAGCTCAGAAATAAAAGAAAGGATTGTTGAAGACTTTAACGCTGACAAATACACATACTTTCAATAGCCAGGTAGATCTTGCGTTCTCCCTCCTTGGGCTCTTTGCCAGGAGGGAAATAGGTTCCTCTGATGGTGATGGCGGCTTCAGAGTATTCACCGATCCTCTGCAGAGCTTCTTTAGATGTCACCTTCCACCGGGCCGTCTGGAAAAAAAAAAAAAAGGAACATTTTATAAAGAGAGATTCTTTCTAAATTTGCACTAGTTTCCAAGAGGAAAACAGTAGGGTGATACCAATTTCTCAAAAAAAAAAAAAAAAAACAAC